AGTGTTCAGAGAGATTATGTAATGATCTTTCACAGTCATTGCTCACATCTTACTGTCTTTCTATTTGACATCTTCATGACCTGCAGTGGCTGCTGCTCTTGAGATCTGAAATCAAGAATGATGCAACACAGTGTTAAATAATGATGTGAAAAGCCTGTAATACTTTGATAATAGTTTTATTGAATCATTCTCTTCACTGCTTATATAGTAGTTATTATTCATATCATCAGAGTGTGTACTCAAGCTACTTGTATTAAACATAATCATGTTGTCTTCAACACACTGCACAGGTTTCCCGGGAAGCTTACAGTTCTGAGTATTGAGAACCTCATGCCTTGATTGTGCATGACTCTTTCATTGATGAGTTCAGAGTCAGCTTAATATGTCTTCTTTGAGATGATCTGTAATTATCAGTACTTCAATCACAATTATAAGATGCATGACATCAGTATCAGCCTTATTTCAGCATTATCTCTTGAGTGAAATAGAACATTCATCAGCAATATCAGTGTCAGCTTCATTACTTTCATCATTTATCTTAAGAGAGTGAGATATGAATATTACATAGCTAGAAGTATCTCATTTAATAAAAGATATGAAGATGCTGTCAACAGTGAACTCATTTATAGTACTGTTATCAGAGTCTATCACAATTAGCAGATTAAAGAGTAGAGAATTATCAGAACTGCTTCAGAGTTATTTTCATCTATATAATATATTCTGATCTGATCTCAGCTTTAAAAAGCCAGCTTGTAAAGTTAAATTCAGAATAGATATTAAACTGCTGTTATTAAAAAGAGTCTTTATACTAATGAATCTGATCAGACTGCATTCTACAGTAGATGAAGAAATCAGTAAAAATTCATTATTCTTCTTCTAATCTCTGTTCTTATCTTTATTAAAAAAACCTTGAAGATGCTCTGATATTAGAAACCAGTCTAATCAGATAGAATAAAAAGAAAGAGAAGAGAGAGAGAGAGAGAGCAGATCAGCTATCTATTATAAGAACTGTGTCTTTCATTCTATAAATACTGACTCAAGTATTTCACAACTACATTACTGAGAATGAGAATGCAGAGAGAATTAAGTTCTGTAAAGAGTTTATTAAAATTATTCAAGTGAGTATTCTCTGTCTGAGACTGAATCTCATGATGATCTTTGAAAGAGAGAAAAGATAAAGCTTATGAAGAATGACTGAAAGAAGAAGAATAAGAGAGTAAAGAGTGAAAGAGTGTTTAAAGACTGATAAAAGATATAGAAACTATCTGAAGAGATTGAAATGCAGAGAGTATAGAGTAAGAGAGTTAATGAATTACAGATATAAGTCTTAAAGAGAGAAGATTTACAGAGTTAGAGAACTGAGAAGTTTTCAAGACTCTGAAAAGAGAATTGAAAGAGGTATATATATTTCAGTCATTATACATGTTCACAGAAGAGATGATAATCTCATGTAATTTATCAGAACAGTAGTGATAAATTCACAGGAAAAAGCAGATCATTTTATCTACAGTTTTCATTACTCTGATAATAGCTTCATTCTCTCTGTTTCTTTAAATAAGTCTGTCAGTCAGAAAAATTCACACTCACTTAAAAGAGAGCTGATAAGCATCAGATTTCTCAAATTAAACATTGTCAATTATCACACATGTAACAGCAGAATGTAACTCAAGCAGGTGTGAGTATCAGTCAGTCACATTCATCATCTGTCAGGTAAATGCAGAAGCAGTGTCACAGTCTTCTTCTATCTCAGTTTAATTTTGCTTAAACAATTCAGGCATGGAAGATGCAAGAATTATAAATGAATTGAATGTGAATCTCTTAAGAAGAGTGAGAATAAGCAGTATATAATAGCTATACATATATGTAGCTATAGTCTCACTTACACAGTCTTCTCATATCTTCAGCTCTGTGACTTTCTTCTGTATCATATTATCTCTGCATCTCTACATGATGTACACAGCACAGACACGCTCTGAAAAGCCTGATATAAGAATAATCAGACAATGTGACTTCAGCTCACTTATGTACTATATCACAGGGATTTTCTGACAGAGTTGATTAATTCAACTGCAAGATTGTCACATTGGAGCTGAAACTGCGGTCTTTTAAACCACAGGCAGAAGAAAGAAAACACGGTATGTAATTAATCACTCTTCTTATTATTTCTTAATTCAACACATAGACACCAGTAAATAACAGGTTGAAGAATGAGTTTAAGAGTCAGAGAAAGAATGACATCAGTTCAGCAATACTGCAGTCAGAATCAATTATTCATTTCTACAGAGTTTTATTGAAATAAGGTATTTTTATCATTAACTGCTGAACAGAAGGCATATTTAAAGTATAAGAGAGAGGTTACAGAGTAATCAAAGAACTGTAAGTGAGATTAATTAGTTGCAGATACAGAGAGATAATAAGATATATTTTTTATTTTATTTTTATTTTATTTTTAAGATTACATGTATCATCTCAATATAAGATAAGAGTAGAGAGTGAAGAAGCAGAAAGAGAAGTGAAAGAAGATATAAGACATAAAATAAAGAATATATATAATATATATGAAAAAGAACTCTAGACAGATTTAATACTGATATTAATATCACAGAGACCTTCTTTAACTAGCAGTAATTAAATCAGAGTAATGAACAGCTGAGTAATAATAAAGAGACAGTGAGTTGAGAGAACAAGACAGCAGAGACAGAGAAGAGAAGGAAAGAAAATAAATGAAGAGAAGAAAGAGAAATAAGAATGCAGAAGTGTGTGTACAAGAGAGGCAGTTAAAGCAGCTTTATATAGTTGTAATAGATGATGTCAGAGAGTTGAAGATAATCAGTAAGTCAGTATTATGCCCGAATAGAGCAGTATCAGATCATATCAATCCGTGCTAGACTATACACAGATAGCACTTCACTGAATCAGACAGAAAATGCTGTTTTCAGCCGCGCACTTATCATTACAAAGAATACTTTAAATAACTTTAAATTTCATTTAAATGTTATTAAAAAGTGTTACTTTTTAAAAAATTAAAAATAATCTTAAAAAAATCTTAAAATATTTAAAAATAGTAACTTTATATTAAGAATAAGATAAATAAG